CCCACAGATTTTCATCTGTGGAATTCCATATTTATTTCATGCCATTAGTCACCGTTGACTTAGGGCGCATTTTCAGATGAAGAGGTCAGGTGCCCGCTACCGCGGGCAGGTACCTCATCAAATTCCAGATCAAGCAACCTGCAGTGCTCTTTTAAAGCTAAAGTGGTAGGCAACAGAATGAAATATCTACTTTGTATAAACAGGATATGTACTACCATTTTATTCCACTAAGTGTTTTGTGTCTAGGCATAATAGAGTTAACCAGGTGAAGTCTAGATTACAACCATAATTTTAAAAAGATTTTTGGTTCTTTTTCGTGGTTTCAACGAAAAAAAATGAATGAGTGCTAGCTAAGGTTTCTCAAATCTACTGAAAAGTGTTTGAGAATTGCAATGTTATTCCCAAGTCATTTGTTGCACTAAAATATTTCAAAAACTTGCGTCATTACTTAATGAGTTTAAAAGAGTCAAAGAACCGCATTATATCTAAATCCCTCTTTTTATGACGATTCAGTTTTGTAAAACAATAAATGATGGTTTCATAAACTTATAAGTTTGAAATTTAAAATTTTCTCCTTCTGACTGGAGCCATTAATTTCAAAATCAGATAAGAATCTGAAATTTTGACAGTATTTTTTTTATTAACTTGATTTTTTTTTGTATTGATGTAAGTTGTGAAAAGTAAATACTAAGTAAATTTGAGCTCCTAAAATTTTTTTCCCTCCTCTGTAGAAAATTTAAAAGAAATAGGTCGTTTCCTTAAAAGTGATATACAAATATATTTTAAGGGATTTATCTGAAGAAATCAACAACATCCCAAAGTTTTGTTTTGTTATATTATTTTATTAGTATATCGCTGCCTAGAGTTACGGGCATGCACTCGTTTCCATGGGGCACTGTTGCTTTTCAGAGTTATGCTGTGTCAAATTTAGTGAAAAATTCAGTTTCTGCTCATTTTCTGCCCTGAAAATCTTAATTAAACAACAACACCCCTATAATTTCTAGGCTGAATATTAAAGGTCACTATTAGGACAAGATTTCTAACCCATAATCTTGATTATTTCCTAGAATATTAATGCTTTTAGTAGATACTTTAGCTATAGATGTAGCTATTGAAACTTTAAAAAATCCAAACTACAACTTTTTATATTTAGCTTATCTCAAAACGGTATCGTCGCACAAAAAATAAATAAATAAAAATAAATGAAATAACTATACTAACTTGTAGGTAAATGCATCTAGTAGAAATGGAAGACAAACAGAAAACAAAAAACAATAGGACCTAGTTCTATTTTCATGAAAAAATTTACATAAATTGAATAAAATTGCTGTGTTAGAAATCACTTCTCTCCTTCTTTGAGACTGTAATGATGGATTTTTCTCGAAATCTTGAAAGATTTTCAAAATAAGCTATAATAAAGAGATTTTATAAGAAATCTATCTGTAATTATAAAAACATAATTAAGGAATGAAAATACTATAGTGTTCGTTTTCTCATGCATTTAACCTCTAAATCATTGTTTTTGTTGTCATTCATTTCTCTAAAATAACATGCGTTATCAGTGCTGTAGTTGGAAAAAAATATTTTAGGGACTCATGTTTTTATAGGGCATATGTTATAGTTACCTGATTTTTGTTAGTTCATGAAACGACTACTTGGCTAGCTTTAATTTTAAAAAAAGCATTTCGACATTACTTGCTGTTGTCGTTGTTCATTTACGTCGCACTGGAACTGCACAAAGAGCTATTGGCGACGGTCTGGGAAACATCCCTGAGGATGATTCGACGACATGCCATCACAATTTTGATCCTCTGCAGAGGGCATGTCACCCACGACGGTAGCAAGACGACCTGCACGCGAAATCGAGCACTTTACGGTAGAACAGTTTAACGAAGACCCATATCGCACACTCTCTGTCCCTACGCAGACTGATCCAATCGGTCACCCACCCGCACACTGACAGCAGCCAGTGATGCTTGACTTCGGTGATCTGCTGGGAACCGTGTCTTAACGATCAGTCCACTGCGGGATTCGACATTGCTTAAATTTAGTTGAAATATTTGTGAAAATATAAAACATTTTCATAAAAACTAGTTTTTTTTTTTGCTATAAATTAAAAAATATTCAACAAAATGAAACAAAATTTTTGGAGCAGTATAAAATTAATTACAAACTAAGTGTTTCAAAATTTGAAAAGAAATTATTAAAAAATGCGCAACATATGAGTATTTAAATGTAGTTTCTTGTAGGGCGTATGTGTGGAAAAAATTTAAAATTATTTTTTCATAATTTTATAGTGAAACGCATTTGGCAACTAATGAAAATACTACATGAATAATGCGTAATAAAAATATACATAATAAAAATTTAAATAAAAATAAACATTTAAAATACATAGTAAAATTTGTAGAAAACCTCTTATCATTTTCAGTTCTCTTTTGAAAAGTACGAAAACTACTTATAAAATGGCTTGAAACTTTTTATGTTAAAAGATATTTCAATAAGATTTTTTTTTCTTAGATGAACAATACGATTCAATACAAAATTAAGAAAAAATAATTTTTAATTTTTTCCAATTATGCGTAGTACAAAAAAAAATAATATAAATCCTACTATTCCAGCGCATTTCTTTTCAAATTTTAAAACAATTTTATAGTTAATTTTAAATTACTCCAAAATTAAGTTTAATTTTACTAAATAATTTTTACTCTAATTTTTTATACAAAATATTTACTATTCTAATTTTTGTGTCTTTTATTTATTTTTATATTAAAAAGAAAAAAACATAAGACAAAAAAAATTTGTTTTCATAAAAATTTGCATTTCTTCATAAATCCTAAGTGAGTCAGTTCAGCATGTTGAGAAAACATGTTAAAACTACAGAACAATGGAAAAGAAAAATAATAATAATAAATAATAAAAATCCGGAAAGAAAAAAAAATCCTAGAAAAGGAAAAAAAAGATTATAAAAATCCGGAAAATAAAAGATATAATCTTTTCATCAGCTCACACGATTATATCCGCAAAGAGGAGTGCTTTCTAATATTGTATCAGTAAAGCCAAAGCAAATTATATCAATACAATAGTGTGAGGAGCACTCAAAAAGGATTTACAAAAAACTTACGATAAATAAAATAGAACACAATAAGTAAAAATATCACGTAAAAACAGAAAATAAAATATAAAGAAAAAAAAACAGAATAAAACATAAAATGAAACCTATACAGTGAGTAGCAAATTTAAATGAACTTACATGAACGGGAAATTTTTCAAGAATGATTTAAAATATTTTCGTAACAAGATTGCAGATTACAAAATATGAAAACAGAAGCGCAAATTGAGGTAAAAGCGTAAAGAAAGGGGTTTTGTTTTATCGTGTGTATTTCTGCAATACTGAAGTGCATTTGATTTGTTAATTACCAAGGATGGGCCCGTAAATGGTTGTGGGTAAGGTAATATTATACTGGATAACTTAAGGAAGTTGACAGTTAATAATTTTAGAAAATTAACTTTAATTTAAGAAAGAAAAATAAAAGAGAAAGAAACATGAATTACCAGTTTTGCACATAATTTTAGCCACGGACGATCCCGAAATAGCACATGGTAAAAATTACATAAATTAAGTAAATTAAGTTAATAAAGTAAATTTTTTAATAAATTTATTTAAAATAATATACAATTAACTCACTGATTTTATATAGAATTTAATTTCTATAGCTGGGGATTCATTGTTTTTTTTTATCAAATTTTGAAACAGTTTATCTACTTGTTTTTTGGATAAATAAACACTACTACATATTCTTTTAATCCTATTCATTTGATTAAAAATGGTATTTAAATATTCTATAATTTTTCTTAAAAAAATCTAATTTTCTAAAATTATTAATTTTCTTAAATTATTAATTGCATTTCGTTTTGGAGAAGTTTTGTGTCAATTTACCACTTCTGTAAAATTTATGAGAAGTAAAACAAAATGTTTTATATAAATATAATATTAATATAACAGTTTTATATAATATTAAATAAATATAGTATCTTAATATTATAAGAGATAAGATATTCTATCATTCAAAAACGAAAATCGCTCGTTTCTTTCCTTTTTTGAAGTCGCACACAGCATGAACATGCAAAAATTATGAAATCTGTGGCAAAAACAACTGGAGAAAAATATCTCATCAAAAAAAATGTGAATTTAAGACGATTTTAACTCAAAAAGTGATTACTGAAATGCGTGATTTTAAATTCGTGCGTTGTAATAAATAGTATCGTATTAAAAATATCGTGATTTTAAAAACCATACGAAAATCAGAATCAGCAACTGCCGAAAAAATGATGGTATCATCGGGTCAAAAAGTAAAAACTCAAAGGCGTGATTTGAATTTGGGATATTTTAATAATATCCTTAAATAAATATAAGGATTTAAAAAAAAATATTAATTTAATAATCAATAACTACCGAACACCATGATTAAAACACGACACGAATTTATCATGAAAACAACGCAATTCTAGTGCGTAAGACGTCGTGAAATGATTACTCATATGAGCAATTCGAATTTTACTTATCTTAACAATATGGTATGAAAAATATCTGAATTTCAAAACTAGTATGGAAATCTGTATAAATGACGAAAAATCGATTAAAAAACAATGGTGGAATCGACTTGTCAAAAAATGAACAGATGCGAACGTATTTAGTGTATCGTAAATATATGAGTGTCGTTAGTATGAAAAAACATATGGATTTAAAAAACTCATTATAAAATGTGGAGTAATAATTGCCGAAAAAAGATGGAAACTGGTGGATTTGTAATAGAATCGAGAGCGTCAAAAAAATGATTACTCAAATGAGCACTTCGAAATTTTAATGTAGTAAATATTATATCTAAAGTATTAGGAAAGTATTAGCTAAATAAAAAAAGAAGAACTATACTGTACTAATTTAAAACTTATTTAGTTAAAAATCGGAATTACTTACGAAATCGACACTCGTTGATGGTTAACACAAACTTAATTGTCAGGAAGAAAGTTAAAATAGTTCTTGTTGCATGACGAGGTTTTCTTATTTACATTTGAAGAATAAAATCGTAGTTATGCGCCGCATCCAGGAAAGCTTTTTCAGACATGTCTAGCCAGAAAACGTCCTTGCGGTTACTATGGTTACGAGAGTAAGTTGCTTCGGAAAACGGTGTGGAATAAATAGTTTTGTTGACAATAATCTTGGCACACATTGGCGAGAGAATCTTTGCTTAATAATTTCTGGAACAGGTATTTTGTACCTGTTATTGAATCATTTTTGTTATAAAAATAATATGTTACTTCCAAAAGTCTGTTCCGAAAAAAAATTATAATTCATTTATCTTTTAAAAAAAAAATTACATTTTTAATAATGTTTAAACAGCTTTTTAGCCATCTTTGTGCAGTTTAAAATAAGAAAACACGATTGTTACTGGGTGATTGTTTATGTTATTGTTACAGGGCCGTCGCTTAACATTGCGAGGGGCCCTACAAGTTTTCTTTTCTGCAAAGCCTCTAGGAAAGAAGATAACTCTGAAACTAGATAAATTTTTATTGAAATAATTCAAATAGATATATTTTTTCTCAATTTATTTCCTAAAAATGGACAAAATAAAATTTTTATTCCATTATTATAATTTTTTAGTTCGGTTTTAAATCTAATAATTTCATGATCTATTTATTAAAATCAAATAAATTAATCCAAAAATGATTTTATACAGCTTATTTTCTCAAATTCAATGGTTTGTATTTCTACGCATAGTTTTTTTTTTTTTTTTTTTTTTTTTTTTTTTNTTTTTTTTTTTTTTTTTTTTCATGGTGCCTCTCTAACTGACTTCAGGAACTATGTCTTGGTAATCATGTATATGTTTGAAAAAGAATTCTATGGTAATAATTATAACAAAAATCGCCTATGAAAGCCGGAACAAATGCACGAATCCCCCCCCCTCCTCGTGTGTCTTGAAAACTTCAAACTCGTTTTTTTTTTCTCGAAGGGGGAGAAACACAGTGTCTGTTTTAGAAGATAGTTTATTTTAAGGTAAGCAATATGTTACGCATTTTATGCTGCTTGCAATTTTAACTTCATGCTTCAAATTTTCTTTCGAACCATGATTCGAATTGGATTTATGACTTATAAATAAAATAAATTTGAAGATAATGATGACCACAGGCGCCTTCTCATTGGACAGATACGTCACGTGGAAATAACTAATGCAATATCAAGTCAGCAGTCTAATTCGCGCTGTGCTTCGTCCAAAGTGATAGATGATTGAAATAAAATAACGTAGAAATATACTGAGTCGTGTATTAACGATTACAAAAATTTTCTTCGTGCATATATTTATTTTTGAATGGTTATATTATATATGTAGGTATCTTAGTAACAAACAATCGAATCATCTTGAAATGTTTTGAGAGGGAGAGGATGTCAAAAATGGAAACTTTAGATATTACTTAAGTCTAGACTATTGATGGATTGTTCCTTATTTTTTTTTTTTTTTACACTGAATAGTAACAAAGTCAATAGAACTAACGGTTTACATGTAATGAGAGTTTCAAGTAAATTTATAATTTTCCACTTATACATTTTTACGGAATGAAATCTTTCAAACTTTGAAATTATGAGACTTATTCATTATTTTTTGAATTAATCAAAGTTAGCGTAATAAATACACAAGAAACAACACTTCATTTGATCATTTGCTTAGATAGCAATATCAGTCTAATATGTCTGATGTTGCTATTTATTGAATAAGTACAAAAAATGTACATTTTGTTTAATAATTTTGTTCTACTGGCAACCAAAGAAATTTGGATCTGTATATAAAAAAACTGAATCATACCAGATAATTTTAATGACCAAATCGTATAAATGGATTTTTTCAAGTAATTTATCCCTTTGGTAACTTTCATACAGGGGATAAACTCTTCGGTGTAGACGCCCCGCTAAATTATTGTAGTTCCAGTTCCATATGAACATAAAATACCATCAAGTATGTTCATTGGTGTGCCAAAATATACATCTTCTTTTTCTTCAAATGCACTACAGCCTAATAGAGCCGCCACAAAAAACTTCTTCCTCCAACTGATCTGGTCAGGCGCTATGCAGAGATGCCAACTTGATCCGGACAACAAATATATATTTTAAAGTGGTAGTTTATCAATTGTGATTCTTGGTTTAATAAATTTAATTTTGGGACGTTTTTTAGGGTATTTGTAAGGTAAAATGGCTGTTAAGCGAAAGTTAGATAATTATGATGATGATTATGATTGTGATGCAGAGAGCTTATCAAGTTTTGAATCTGATGAAGACTTTGCTCAGAGTATTTAGGTAATTACTGTATTTAAATGCTTCATAAAGTTTTACATTAGTTGTATTTATTTAGTCCTTTCAATTTAATATTTGTCTTATATTTATAATTAACTATTTTTTATACACTTGATTATAATCATTTATAATTTACTATTAATAATTATCATTTATTATTTTAAAGTATGTAAAAACTACTATTTATGTACTGTGAAGACTTTAAGAAATTTTTTAAACGCGTGAGCGAGCTATCTACGGCATCGGAGAGATGCCAACTTGCTCCGCTTTGTAAAGTAATATTTTCTAGTGGTTGCGAAATTCAAATTACTTTCAATTTAGTATTTTTCCCTTAAAGTAATTTTTTCTCCACTAAATATCAAAAATTATGGATGGGTGATCATGTAAAGCTAAGAGTGGTGGCGCTAGTGGTTAAATTGCACTCGCAAGACTTCCGGGTTACTGCTTCCGGTATATTTTTACGCCGCAGATTGAAAAAACGCGCCATCATATTATTGCATCATATCTTTTGCAGTATTTCACATGTACCGAGTTCTTTCTTTCAGCCTTTAAACTTCAGCATTATCATATTAATATTATAATCATTAGAATATTTTCTAATTAGGCTAACTTAAAAAGATATTTTTAAAGATATTTTTGACGGCATTTTATTCAAATGTAGCCAAATAAGGGATAAAATACAAAACATGGCAAACCTTAAGAATTATTCACAATGAGATATTAACTTTCCTAAATTTTTTTTGGCCTTACGACCTCTGAGAATCAATACATTTCTGAAAGCTCTTATGAATGGTACAATTATGTTTAGATTTGAACCCAAATTACAATAACAAAACTGCATAGAATATTAGGCTTGTTCACACATCGCCTCGTAGTCATAACATGAGCGGAGGGATACACAGGAAATTTTCTAAATTTCTTTCGGTTTAAGGACGCTTGTTATTGTTTACATTAGGCCACCCATCCATAAGTATCATATAAAATGAAACGTTAAAGCGACAATCTACTGGTTACTGTATTAAAAAGTAGGCATAACTATCCTTCTCCAACGAAATTTGCTACATAATTTGCTACCACTTTATTATAACAATTCCAGAAAGCGGAGCAGTTGGCATCGTCAAAGAACGGTGACATTTTCGGAAGAACGGCGGGGGAAAACAGCTGCCACTTTCGACTACTGTTTGCTCGTAATACTACTCGAATTTATGAAACGAAAACTGCTTATTTCCCTAACTGTCAAAGGGTTACGGGTTTTTTTTTTTTTCAATTTTACTTGAATAGTGCATAAATCATTTATATTGCGTGGAAAATAGCCTACGGTCCACTTTGGTACTTTTGTGAGAGACGGGCTTCATGCTTGCGTCTGCGAACGGAATCCTTTCCGTATACCGTTTTTCCGTTTGTGTATAACGCTTAAAGGTATTCCCGTCTGCTCTCTTTGGCTTTTTCAGCCCCGGTAAGTTTAGGTCTTAGCAACGTTTGTTTCTTTGCTTAACCCTTTCGCGCCGACTGTCACAAATACGTGACAGCATGAAACTGTATCAATCAGGATAAAAAGATAAAACTGGTAATCAAAGTAATTCTTTAGCGGTTTATTTGTGGGCGGAGTTATAATTGTTTGATTTATTTAATTCACCATTACTTTGTTCAAAATAAAACTATTTAGTTATACTTTGAACTAACATTGATTATATATATGATTAAACTAACAGTAATTAAAGAAAAAGCAAAGTAAGTCTGTCAAATTAGCAACGACTACATTTAAGTTACCGCTTTTTATTTAATTGCAACTTGATTCTGATTTTGTACAAATGCTTTTCTAAATCAACCGTACCCAAGGGGTTAAACTTTAACTTTTGGGACCGTTTCAATCAGTTTGGACCCTCTTTATTTGTGATATTCACCTGAATTGGTATTAAAAACGATCCAGTTCCATGTAGGTTAGAATTTCTGATTCTTAATTAAAGCAATAAAAACAAAAATATCGTTCAAATGATGAAATTCTCTTTTATTCACAACTCAAGTAGTATTAATGGGATCTCTCTGGTCCCATATCTCAAAAATAATCTCACCCACTTAATGTATAACAAAATTAAAAGTGAAAAAAAGAATTATAAAATAAATTATCAAACAGGAGCGGTGACCATGGCAACCCATGCACACTGTTTACCATTACTCTTGATTATTGTAGTTGAAAAGTGAAGACGCCATTAAATCCAAACATAGACCCATTTTGCCAATGGGCAATAAAGGGGTCCAAACTTTGGGGCTCTCTATTGGGACCATATTTCCCAGATTGCGGCTACTCCCCTATATTTTGGGTTATCAAAAATCTGAATCCGCTGAAAAAAAGGTAGGTTTATTCCGAGAAAGTACTTTTTTGGGTCTGATTTCGTAACTTAAAATATCGTCTGCACTTATTCTTTTGCATACATTTGAGATCACACGTTTGTACCATTGAGAATGAATTTTGGAACGTGAAGATCATAAGATCAAAAATTATTCAGGAAAATCTGCTTTTTTTTCTTGTATTGCACGTATATTTTCCACAATAAACATTTTCCCACAAAGTGATGCAAGTTGGCATCTCCATATTTTAAGGTAAAATTATTTTTAACCAATCGGCCTAAAATTTTTTTCCCACAAGTATACCGTCAGGTTTGTATCCGTGTAAATGGCATCCTTTCATATTTCAGAAAATAGTTCCACGTATTCTTTTTTTTTGGTTGTTGTTGTCAGTCTTGTTGTATGAACTTTCATCTAATCAGTTAATAACTACTGAGATACACTAAGTTCCTAATATGTGTTTCTATACTACTACTACGTCTT